TCTTAAACATGGAAACCCCCGGGCCGGCGGAACGCTTAAAATCGGGGGGGGATAAGAAGAATTTTAGTTTTTTTCCCGGGGCACACCCGGGCTTCCCTTGACAGGCCCATTTTTTTTTTCGGGGGGGGCCATTTTGGTGTTACCGTGTGGGGAGGAAGTTTTTTTTGGGCAACCAGCCCCCCGGTTGTTTGGGGGGGGGTCCCCGCCCCTTGTGGCCGTCGTTTGATGGGGGGGGGTTTTTCGGGACAGGGGGGGGCGCGGGGGGGGGGGGGGGGGTGCCGCACATATCTTGGACGCCCTCTGTTGGGTCTAGCGGTGACCCATCCACGTACACTACTTGCAGGCAGGCTCTGAAGGGGCTGCTGTGCTACCTTCGTCTGGCGTTGTTCCAGACAGGATGGTTTTTGTGTTATCTTGTTTTCCTACCACGTCGCCCCTCCTTCTGTCACAATCTCGAAACGAGGATGCGCTTGGCGACGAAAGGCACTGGACGTGCCGCATAGTACACGGTGGGTTACAATACATGCGGGCTCGAAGAGCGAAACCACGTTTTACCAAGTAGGCCGCAAGGACAGGTGCTCAGGCAAGAATTAGTCATGTTGGGTCACCTACACCTACCCCACGGAGAAAATAATAAACGAGCCTCGTGCAAAATATGACGTGCTTGAAAGTGTAGGCGCGTGCTGTCCTAAGTGGGCAGATAGCGTATCGTTGTGTCTCCCCTATTATTTTTTTGTTTTCATCGTCCATCACATGGGAACAGAAACAACGAAAACAACTCTCACAGGTTTGTGTGTGCCCTTGTCTGCTCCCCCTTGCTACCCCCCCCCCCCCCCCATCCGTTTCCGCGGCGCCCCTTTCGGTTTAAGTTGGGGGAATCCGAGGATCTAACGAGCTGCAACGGCTGGTGACAAACCCGGTACCGGAAGAAGGGTCGTGGGCGGTGGCGTTCTGCATGTTCCCGGTATCGGTGGATCAAGTCATGAGGGTAGCGGACGCCGATCAGCTCATGCCCCCCAAGGTGCGAAGAAAGAGAAGAAAAGGCCTCGCCTTTGGATGATGGAAGACGTACATATTGCCGAAGGTGCTAGAAGCAAATATGTAAGACGCACCGTTTAGGTGAGCAAAAGACGTGTCTTTTCACCGAAAACTCTAGAAGCGCATGAGAAAGACGTGGCAGTATACCGTGTTCTCGAAGGCACCCACCCTCGCTGTTCTTGTACTGTGACGTGGGCCTCTCACCCCACGCAATGAGCTGGCCGAACTTGCAGCTTTTCGAGCGACTCTTGTTGTAGACCCGTGCCCACTGGAAACTTCTCGGAAAATTCCCCATTTTTGTGGTGTTGCTGTTCTTCGTCACTGTCCTGCGAGCAGGCGACTTGGTTCGAGCCTAAGCTTAGGTCGGGGCTGGTCGTGCGCTCGCTGGATTCGCTGGAGGAAACAAGATAGCCGTAATAGCGGGCGCCATGCAGCAGTCGGTAGTTGGCTGTGGTCGTCATTTGTTAGCACCGTGTGAAAGCGGGTAGTTGTTGTCGTCGACGTCGTCGTTGTCAGCAACGGCTTGGAAGATGGCCGCCAGGCATGCTACGGGTAGCCGTCATGTTTTTTTAGGCGTTTCTAGTCGGGAGGTTTGGTGCTGTCGTCGTTGTTAGCAACGGCTTGAAGGTAGCCGCCAAGTTTGGAGGGCATGCTATGTAGGGTATGACCGTCAAGGTGTCGTTTGGGTGGCCGGCTATACCAATGAGATAGCCGCAGCCGGGCTAGACTGCCGGCAGAGGTTATGGCAAAAGCGCTTGGACAATAGCCCCCTATGGAGATGGCCGATGGACTCGCCTCGACACTCGAACTTTTTCGAAACGCCTGCCCATGTGACCGGCGTTGGATGTCTCGCCCCAGAGGTGTCTCCAGTCACCAAGCCAAGCCTCCAATAGGATGGGTTCTTGCTCGAGACGAATGGTAGTGCACGTATCTCACCGCTTGCTACGGTCGGTGCAACCGTGTATGGCCTCCAAGGGGCCGGAGATGCTGGGCTGTGCACGCGTGTGGGGCGCGCCGTGACTATTTCTCGTATTCCTGCCTAGTCGAGGCAATCGGGGCAGTCTTGGGGGTGTTTTTGCTAACTTTTCGCGGGCGCAGCGCAGCCCACTCATGGAGCCGAGTCCTCCACATCGCGCTTGAGCCTGTATCGCCCTAGGTATCGTTGTTTTAGATTCGATGTTTTAGATTCGATTTAGCCGGGGGGGCGAATGGGTTCACACCCGCCAACGGTGACAGCAGGGAACGGGGGCACGCGCGAAGGGTATTGTCGAAGGGAATACTCCTTAGCTTCCACGAACAGTGCACGAACTTCCGGTCGGCGGGACACTACCAGTGGAACCGCCGTTAGCTGTTTTGAGCTCCTTGGCGCTAGGTGGAAAGAAACAAACGTGTTTGCTACAGAAACATGAAATCGCATGGCGCTATCTGTATCCACTCGAAGTTTTTAAGGTTGTGCTTGCGTGTCTCAGAAACAGGAGATTGTAGATGGTGACAGGTAGTTCTTTTTGGGCATGCATGTAGAATGGGTGGGGTCACAAAAATGGCACAAGTGCATGTTCTTGCGAGCGGAGCCAAGAACAGACGAGATAGTTCTTCGCTTGCCTAGTCCTTGCCTTTGTACGGTAAGGGACACTCAAGTTGAGGGAGGTAGGACTCCGCGTTGACGGGGTAAATACATGGCGCGTTGAGGTTGTGTGAGTTTTTCGTCAGGCAGCAGGGCGGCATGAATGTGTGCGTGTGGGTGGGGGTGTAGGTTGAAGTTGTAGACAAAACTCCTATTTTCTATCTACAAGGTGTGTGTGTGTGTGTTCAACACGAAGCGACATAGATGGCCAATCTTGCTCACCCTTGTTACGACGGAAATTCTTGTCTTCTTCCTTAGGGAGTGCAGAACAGGAGATTCTGGAAAGAGAGCAAGCGCCACGCAGGTTTTCGGTGGGGTTTTCTGTCATCGGCGCGAAGACGATAGCTCAACTTTTTTTTTATGAAACGACGAACCGGCCGACCTGTGCATGTGCCTCCCAGTTGTTTGTCGCCGAAGGGGGGGGAGATGAGTGTGCGCACCCATCAGGACTACTGTGAGGCAGCGATTGTCACAGTTGGAGCAGAAACATGCCTCATCCGCCTTCCAAAACCATCGGCACCGCGCACCGGTCGAATCCTATGGAAGATGACAATAAAGAGCGTCATCTTCCGTATAGGTCGAATCCAAACAGCCAAGCACAGCCGTGAATTCTATCTAATCAAATGTAAGAACAGACGCACCTCATCATCATTCACCCAAAAGGGACGCTCGGTAGCATGAAATACTTTTACTTCGTGGCGGTATGAGTACGGCCACTGACGACGATGATATAACGTTTCCTACTTGTTGTCCTATACTACTTGTTGTACGTTCGCCCTCCATCCTCCCGGTTCATTGCTTGCGGATCATGGTATCACGTATGTATACAGCTGCAGACTAAAATTTGCGATTGAGCACTACCATGGTTGGGTGGAAAAGGGGGCCGGATAGCGCCATCATTCGCTGCTGCACCGCAACAATCAAGTCACCATCATTAATGTCTACTCTTCTACCGTCGGTATTGGTAATTAGCGTCGTGCGGACTTTCGGACGTGGACACCCACACGCGGTATGCATATAGTCTATTAATACGTGGATCATCAACAACAGCAGGATGTAAGATGTATCTCTAGGTCCATCGTGCTTGATTCTTTTCTCATTTTCGTTCTGTTGCCGGCTTGTTTCTCTCCCTCTGCTGTTGCTGCTTCTCCCCTGCCCAGCCAGGCCACGCAGAAAAAGGGCAACCACCTCGTCGTGCGGAATCCTTCGTCTGTGAAACTGGAATCACATCCATGCAGCCAGTGTCATCATCATTGCGGCCATCATGTCAAGGAATTATCCTCCACGGAGCCCCTGCGGCAGGTATACCCACCCCCCACGGCGCCCGCGCATGGGCAAACTCAGGAATCACTGCCGATCACCTATCACCGAAAACCTCGTCAAATTCGACCGTCTTCTTGAGTTCCAACCCCGCGTGCTCCTTCGTGTCTGAGAGAGGTCTGGCGGGAATAGCCTCGCTGAGTCAACACGCTGCTTGCTGACGGGGCAAGAGGCGCAGGAGAAACCTCAGATCCATAGACAGGAGGAGCTTTGCTTCTGTGCAGCGGGAAGCGCTGCTGCTGCTGCTGGCGCAAGCAAGAAGAAAGCGTGGGTTCTGTGTAGCGCCGCTGCAGCGTGAGCATGGCGAGGATGACCAACGGACGAGGGAGAGACAAAGCGGCGGTCAATGTGGAAGGAGTCATCGAGGGGCAGAAGGTGTGTGAAAAGAGAGGGAGGAGATACGTGCAGCAGGGCGTGATGTGTGCAATGAGCAAGCACGACTGCATCTTTTTCCTAGAATCAGGAAAAATGTTGCCTGTAGGCAGCGGTAGGGCACGTATGACAAAAACAGCCTTTCACCACACACACAGCAAATCTCCGAGCCACATAGCGTTTCGTACCTTCTTGAGCTGCGAGCACGACACCACGCCCTTGGTGTAGTGTCAGCTACTGCGGCTAGCCGTCTGATACTCCCTGTCTGTGGTAATGGATTTTTTGCGCGAGACTCTATTTCTCTCAGCTACCTGCTTTTTCCCCCCGCCGCTTTCTCTCTTTTCCCCCTGAAAATTCGAGTTGCGCACCTACACATACAGCCCATGTGAGGCCACCTCTCCTTAGCAAGCAGTCCATCTTTCCCCCAACAACGCAGCAGGCAAGCTACGGGGGTGAGGGAACGCCCCCGCTTTACCCTTTCCCTCGCTGCCCTTTTTTTACGATAAGTACGAGCGTTATCTCTCTATCTTTGGCACATTTCCCCCCACAACCGTCTTTTGCCCCTTTTGGTCTGACGTCGGAATCAACCCCCACTGCTCTAATTTTCACATACACACCATTTCATCAAAACACAAGCAGAGTATTTTGTAGGATTGCACTTGTGACAAGTACACCAGTTTTTCAAGAATAGGAAGGATCTGAGAGAGCCAAAGAAGTGCCGCCGTCCTTTGGCCGTCCACCGGTTGTTGGCGGAACGCGGCGCACGCCTTGTTTCGTGCTCCCTTCCGAAGCGCGGAATTCACGATGTAGTGTGGGGGGTGGAGTGGGCAGCAGTCCTGCTGCTGTATCGAACTGTGGTGTTGTACGTACTGCTGTGCAAGAACGAGGCGCGCTTTTTTTTTTTTTCCCAATTGATTTTTTTCCCATATTGTTTTAATCGTTTTGGGCGAAGTCGCAGCAGCTTTCCTGTCTTCGTGATTTTTGTCACTCCGGCTGCTGCTGCTGCTGCTGCTGCTGGCCCCACCTCTGAACGTGAGCAACAGTCAGACTCCTCTCGAAAGTGCAGCAGTAGCCCGGGCTTGGTCAATCCTTATCGTCCGTAACGATGTCAACGCAGCAGCCGGTCGGGCGGTGACGACGCTTGGTTAGTTGACGGGCAAACAATGCAGCAGCGGTCCCCTCTGTTCTGTGTTTGTATACAATCTGCAGGTAGTTTACCTGTTCCAAGAGCAGGAATTTTTCGGTTCAGGAAGTTCGGTTCCGCACGCTTCGGCGTTTGGGGTCTTGTGTGCTTCTCCCTTCTCACTGCTTCTCACCGGGTGTGTTTGTGTGGATGGCAGGGGAATGGAAGAAGGGTGTTTGTTTGAGGGGCCGCGCAAGAAAAAATGGAAGCTTTCAAAAAGTTTCGGGGGGTACTGCTGTTCGGGTGCCCTGTCTGCTGTTGTTGTTGTTTGTTGTTTTTCTTCACATTAAACTCGTGTCAGTTGCAAATCCCAATATCTAGCGAAGACTCGGCCCGTGGTCACAAAAATGCTAAAGCTGTGCGGCGAGAAAATGAAGCAGCGAGCTGGAAGAAACAGGTGTTTTTTCTGGCATTGCACACACTTCACGAATATATACACAAACGTATAGTATGCAGTGTTAATGTAACAGAGGAAATGGGTCCAAGGTTCAGCAGCACCCTCTCTATTTTTGCGGAACCCGGTGGTGTATGAATAGGCCAACCTCAGGAGGAAAGGTGACAAGGTGGTCCATAAAACTGGGCTCGTCGGTGGAAATGCTGTAGAGATGATAGGCTCGTTGTTTTGTTCTAGAAGAAAAAATACTTCTGCTTCGTCGTGCATGCATGCTGCTGCTGGTACAACACATACTACCAGTCAACCATGTAGATATGTATGATAGAGGTGATCGCTCCGACGAGGGTTATGAGAGCAACGTGTCATAAACAGGGTGATTGATGCAAGGTGGCACAATCAAACCAGGCAGCAGGAACAGCCCACACACCTGACGTGCTTCTCGACCCGAAGAGCCCCAGCGAACCTCAACGAACAAAGAAAGAAAATCTTCCAAATCTGCACACAGCAGTCGTTGTTTTACTACAGCCTACAGCAGTATGTACCAGGCTGGCAGCAAATGGATCGGACGAACACAACAAGCGCACACGCACACATAGACCCACGCTCACATGCTTTGCGTGCTGTGCGCTTCGTGTGCACTGGCAGACGTTGCGTCCATGCACATCCCACACAGCGTCAGGGTTATGCGTAGCCACTCCTGCATTGTACACATTCGTACACGAGCAAGAATATTATTACAAGTATTCACACCCTACACGTGATCCCTCCGGAGAAGTGGGCCCATGAAATGTGAGTCATGTAGGGGTGATGATGCAAGACGAAAATAAAAGCAGGGAGCAGGACCACAGCCCACAGCCGGCTGCCAACTGCCCGTGGTGGCCGCTCACACTGCTCACTCGCATGCTTTGACTCGAAGAGCCCAGCGAATCGCAACGGACCAAGAAGAGCAAACTACGCCAGTTATGCATACTCCCTCTGGCTCGAAATACGGAGTATAGTAAGATCGGTTAGAACAAAATGCGGTCTAACTCGGGCCCATCTTGGACTTTTCCCGAGCCGTTTCTTTTGTTGGTTTCGCCGCGCTCAGGCGGAACACGCAGAACCATTTTTTCTATCAACCCTCCACGAAAAAGGTGCTCCCACTCCATCAGCAGTCGCTCGAAATCACCACCCCAACTTTGAAGTTTGAACCTCCGGTCAAGAGCCTTCCTGCCCATCACTTGACTTGACTAAGCATGCCCGCGAGCGGGAATGCTTCACGTGTGTCAGAACGCAAGAATCTCAAGGCAGAGGAGAAAAATGCCGTGATTTTGCACACCTCTCCTCGCTCGCAGCAGAGATGGGATCCTGAAGCGAGTTGCGTACGAGCAAGCCGCGGAGAAGTTCGGTTGATATCGCAATGGCAGTCCATCAAGAGAGTGTGGAAGAAGCACGATACGCAGGACACAGCAGGGGTGGCGAGCCCGCAGCTCGCAAGCGGTCGCAAGGGGAAAAGCGGGAGGAAGGGCATTCCCCATGGAAGAGTTGCGTACGCGCCCGCGTGATGCAGTATCCCGCTGAACGACCGCGCCACACAGCGCCGCTCGGCTGCGGCGCTGGGGTCCCAAAACCACGCTCCTTATGCTAGAAACCTCAAGAAACTTGGATTGAGGGAACACTCGAACGCGACAAAGACGTATCACACCGTCCAGGGGAAACTTGACAGGCTGAGGTGAGTGCAACGGTCGGTGCGGAAGCAGCGGACGGTTCTAGAGTAGCGCACGACCTCATGGACTTGTTCACGTGGTTGAAGTGGTTCTGTCTCTTCAAGGATGTACAGAGAACTTCATGGACTTGGTCCACGTGGATGAGAAGTGGTTCTATCTCTTCAAGGATAGGCAGAAGTCTTCCGCCCGTCCTTCAAGAGACAGAACCATTTATCGTCCACGTGGACGAAGTCCATGAGGTCGTGCACCACTCAAGAACCGTCTGCTGGTATCCGCTCCCACCGTTGCACTCACCTCAGCCTGTCAAGTTTCCCCTGGATTGTGAGATAAGGCTTGAGCGCCTTCGAGTGTTCCCTCAATCCAAGTTTCTTGAGGTTTCTAGCATAAGGAGCGTGGTTTTGGGACCCGAGCGCCGCAGCCAAGCGGCGCTGTGTGGTGCGGTCGTTCAGCGGGATACTGTATCACGAAGACGCGTACGCAACTCTTCCAGGGGGAATGCCCTTCCTCCCGCTTTTCCCCTTGCGACCGCTTGCGAGCTGCGGGCTCGCCACCCCTGCTGTCCTGCGTATCGTGCTTCTTCCACACTCTCTTGATGGACTGCCATTGCGATATCAACCGAACTTCTCCGCGGCTTGCTCGTACGCAACTCGCTTCAGGATCCCATCTCTGCTGCGAGCGAGGAGAGGTGTGCAGAATCACGGCATTTTTCTCCTCTGCGTTGAGACTCTTGCATTTTGGCACCCGCGAAGCATCCCCCCTGGCGGGCATGCTTAGTCAAGTCAAGTGATGGGCAGGAAGGCTCTTGACCGGAGGTTCAAATTTCAGTTGGGGTGGTGATTTCGAGCGACTGCTGTTGGGGTGGGAGAACCTCTTTCGTGGAGGGTTCACAGAAAATCGGTTCTGCGCGTTCCGCCTGAGCGCGGCGAAACGAACAAAAGAAACGGTTCGGAAAAAATCCAAGATGGGCCCGAGTTAGACCGCATTTTGTTCCAACCGATCTTGTTTTATTTCGGACCAGAGGGATTACGTGTTATGCATTGCCTCTACCTTCCGCGGAGATAGTGAGTTTGGGACAGGGTGATACATACCCGCTTGAAGGACGCCAGACCGAGGATAGGGACACTTCCCGCATCATGGTCTCCCATGTTTTATGGAGCATGGCATTCCCCCGCAAAATGACTGAACAAATTGAGGGTATGCCGCTGCTGTATCATATTTAGGACACATGCCCGCTTTTATTAATACTGTATTTCACTTTCTGGAGAAAAATCATGAGCGTCCTCAGAGTAGGGACGGCTGCTCATGTGTTCTCGGAAGGGCGTGGATCTGGATGCTGTTTGAACCGCCTTGCGGTAGTGGTGCATGTAGTCTGGAAGTTAAAAGCACGCACGACAGCGCCACACCCGTCGCTGCACCCTCTCGTCCGATTCTTGTCCCAAGTCTTCCCGTTCCACGTTACCCTCACTGCTGTTTTGAGCATGTTTTTGTATTGACCGCGCTGACCGGCTGGTCAACGAAAATATTTGTCACTCTTATGCACAAGCGGCTTAAAGGAAACTCTTGGGAAGGCGACCATCTGGGGTATTTTGTCGTCCTGTCCGAAAACGACGAATTCTGGCATTGAGTTCATGCTCTCTTGCTATTGGCCGAACTCGACAGTCTCGTTAGGGGCAAATTTGCTGCTTGACCTAGATTGAAGGAGGGTTCTTGGGTTGTTGTACAGCGCACCCTGTCCTACGGTTATGACACGGCCAGCACTTGCAGACAGACGCGGGCCCGGTCGGTGTTCGAATGCCAACAAGAGTACCGTACATGACTTGACGTACTATATCACACACCCGTAAGTCAACATTTCAAGCTCGAATACCCAATCGCCAAGAGACCCTTTAGAGCCACGTGATGCGTTCTGGGCGGCTACTCTTTGATTTGGGTGCAGTCGTGCCCAGCGATTTTGTGCTCGCTACAAGCTATACGGGGCAGTCGCTTAAAATAGCAGGGAGAACGATCGGGACTGCTGTAGGCACCAAACTTGACCCTTTCCTCCAGACCAAAACGGACTTCGCAACGTTTGTTCACTCTCGGAGGTGTGATGTGATGAAAATATGGGCGTTTACGTGTCTACAGTATGAACGAAGTACAATGTAAGAAGTACGGAGTATTATGGAAGAGCTCCTGCGTGACCTTCCTCGTGTGCGACCCCGGCTGATACGTCAGAAATGTACACCGAAAGGTATGTTGACTGGGGGTTGCAAACGTCTTGACCTGACCAGATGGGGCATCAGCGGCTGAAATTGAGAGTGCACGGGGGGATGTGGCGTGTTTCAGGCCTACGGCCGCCTCTGTAGTACTTTAAGCCAGAGGCTTGTTTGAGGCTCACCATCATCTGGTCGTGGGTGTACTACGAACGTGCCAGGCGCGATTGCAACCTGATGTGTACCAACACCAGCCCGTATTCCTGTTTCCGAGGCAAAATCTCCAATTTTGTTGTTTTACCGTGCTGTAGTGTGTGGCTCCGGCCGATTCGTCAAACTTATGGTACAATACACCGAAGGATGTACACTGGCGGCTAGAGTAGATGGAAAACAAACGCATCGCCCACAAACCACAAAAGAGACTGAATGGCGACTCTCATTGGTCAGTCGGGTAAACGCAGTCGATGCTCATATTAATTAAACACGCACACAGAGAGAGAAAAACTTAAGCCTCTCCCATGACGCTCCGTCACGGGGTCCCAGATGATGTCCTTGAGAGGCATTTGGTGTTTTCAACCCCAACGAGACTGTCGTATTTTCATTGGTCAACCAATTAGCGCGGTCGATGAGAGGAGCGCTCACGCACAGATCCACCCAATTTTGTTGTCCGTTTCGCCCGCAACTGCAACTGCTCCCAAAAGGTGTACGTGCCGGATGATGACATCGCGTGGGCAAGAGCAACCGTGATGCACCCGCTGGGGGGCTCCAGGTTCGAGGTTGAGGTGGAGCGGTCACAGGAGCGGGGTGGGCTCAAGCCGCGCGTAACCGGCTCCGTGGTTGTCGATGCGTCCGGGCCGGGGTTTGAGGGCATGGACTCCCTCCCATTGCAGGTACAGGCCCGGAGGGGGGGGGGGTGTACTCATAGTCGTGCATGACGTAGTCTTTAGACCATTGACCTCGCATTCCTACAAAGCCGGGACGGAGCACGCCGGGTTCTCTCCGGACCAGGCTCTCTCAAAGGCCCGGGGGAAGGGGCAATGGCTGAAGCTTATTACGGGGGGGGAGGGTTGCAGGGTTGGTGGTCTTTGGTGCGTATACATTGCATGTTTGGGGCGGATGCGCTATGGTCGTGGTTTTGGGGCGCGAGATCCCGCTCCCGATGCGAGTGGGGGGTGATGGCAACTTTCAAGTGCGGGCTGGGGGCGGAGTGTATTGACAAGGGATTTGGGGGGGTTCCAATAGGATAGTCGTGGTGGCATGCTTGGTTTGGTGTTCCATAGGACTTTCGTTTCCTACAGTACTGGAAGCGTGCGTGCCGGCGGACGTTTGGGGCATGGACTCGCTTCTTTCGCTGGATACTCATTTGTCGTTTGTGAGAGTCGTGTGGCCGTTGTACTCTGACGGAGGCCTGTGTGTGGAGGGGGGGGATGTGTTTGTCCCATGACCAATGTCGCGATTTTCTTGGTGTATCTCGGCGGGGGCGAGAACAGGCATCTCATGTTTCCGGTAAGGGTGGGTAGGGAAGGGAGTGGCTTTTGAGGCGGTGAGCGGGGGTTGGATGTTTGTTTTGCGACGGTCATGATGGAATGGTTGTGATTGTTGGATCCCGCGATGTGTTGGGGGGGTGACCTCCGAAGTTGGCTACTGGGAGCACAGCAGTGTCACAATAAAAGGGGTGATGCAAGATAACAATATGGGCTCGAAAAGTTGACGGTCTGCCAGCCGTGACGTTGTCCAAGCGTGAACAGCCCACACAGCTGGCTGACGTGTTTCAGACTCCGAGAGCCCGGCGAACCGAACCACCTCACGGAATCAAAAATAAAAAAAGACTATCTTAGACTATTTTATTCGATAGAGATGGATTCGTTGGGTGATACTGATCAAATAAAAAAAAAGTAACACGAATCTGTATTCACCAGACAGCAACATGAAGCCATTTACATATTTTTCGGAAAGTATTGAAAAACACACAGAATAACCGTTATATATATAACCACAGTCGAAAGGGATTTATGTGCTGAAGTCTTTCCCGTGATTGGCGGGTAACCGGCTCGAAACCGAGCTTATTTTTGAGTCTGTTAAAAGCCTATACAATACTGAATTTTTCCTCTCTTTTTTTTTTCTTCTTTTTGCGCTTAGAACGCCGAAACGGCGGATGGGAAGGGAGTCGCGGACATGTGTGCCCTGAACCACCTCCATGAGCCGGCCATCCTCTACAACCTCCGGAGGCGCTTCATGAGCCTGCTGCCCTACACGTACACGGGAGAGATCTGCATCGCCATAAACCCGTACCAGTGGCTGGACATCTACGGGAAGGTATGTACCGTACCGAGCTTTTGTTACCGAGGCTGGGATGCTTAGGACCTGTAGGGTCATATGCTACAAATGGTACATAGGTTTTAGTTACAGGGGATCTTAACTGGGCTCGCATTTTCATTGGTCAGCCGGTTGCAGCGGTCGTGGTGGTTGAACAAGCACACATGCGCGCAGACACATATATCTGTGGTTCCGTTTGTCCGCGGGGTGTCGTTTCTTTTTTCATTTCTATCTTTTTCTTCCAAAAGTTCAGGGCAGTACCCTTCGCTCGCCACTTCTCCACGTGTTTCATTTTTTTTTTATGTTTTCTCTACTGTTTAGTCTTGGTCCCGGGTTAGCGGTCCATTGGGCCGCACAATGTTTTAACCGTTGTTGAGGGCGTCGTCGCTATCAACCCAATTGGCGGTTGTGTGGTAGTTTGACTACCGAGGTGCAGCTGCTGTGCCACGAGATGTTGGACCGCTATTTAAGGCATCCCGCTACAGGGAAGCGCTTAGCCGGGATCATCCCGGCTACAGGGAAACCCGCTATTTAAGGCATCCCGCTACAGGGAAACGCTTTAGCCGGGACCACGACTCTTATCTCATTTTTTTTGTTTGTGCAGGAACTCGGGCAACGGTACAAGGAAGCCTCGAAGCGGTCGGACATGGCGCCACACGTCTACGCGACGAGTGCCCAGGCCTTCAAGGGCTTGCAAACGTACGGCGTGAACCAGAGCATCTTGGTCAGCGGCGAGAGCGGGGCGGGGAAGACGGAGACAGTGAAGATCCTTCTGAACCACCTCGCCGACATCGCGGGGTCCCACGCCGACGACCGCACGATAGAGAAGGTACGTTGCTACGTGGGACTCGCAGTTTTATAGTTGGCACGACATCTAGGGGGGAGGATCAAGCGGTGCTTCTTGGCCCTTGACATTGTGCAGTTGCTTGAAAGGCCTCGGCTGCACGTGGCGCGAGATATGCAATATACGTGGTGTGGAGGGCCGGTCAATTGGTGTTGAGCTTTCGTTGTTGTGCTGGCATAAAGGATATCACCTCTATTGTAGTTGGATAAAATTAAAATACCTGAGGCCCACACAACCTTTTGTGTCCGGTGCTGGTATATCTCTGTGTGTGAGTTTTGCTACCAAAACCCCACGGAATAGCATAGGTATTTTAGTAGATATTTACATGCTCTGGTTCTTGCTCGTGTTGGTTCGGCCGCCTTGTCACAACGTGGTCGTTTTCCGGTTCTTGACCGCCCTGCCAACCACAGATACGCCTCCAGGCCAATCCGCTGCTGACTTCCCTCTGAAAGGCGAAGGCATCGCCTTGAATAACTTGTTCCAGATATTGTAGAGCCGCTTCGAATTCGGCAGGAATGATGACCGGCTTTTCGTTCACCCTTGTGACGCATGTAGTACTACTATCCCGGGCCGGCGAACACCGGACATGTCGCTCCGTCGTACCGGCGTGGTAGGGATGCGAGGTCAATGGTCTAACCACTACGGGATGTATGCGTTTACATGAGTACCGCCGCCCCCCCCCCCCCCCCGCTTTCGTACGACGTTTTGCGACCCACACCCCCACACCCCGGCCGCTTCCGTGCTGTGTGAAAATCAATCAGGTGATCACGTCGAACCCTCTTCTCGAGAGCTTCGGCAACGCGAAGACCCTTCGAAACGACAACTCTAGCCGGTTCGGCAAGTTCACGGAGCTGCAGCTGGACTCGAGGTGCCGCCTGGCGGGGTCCCAGAGCAACACCTACCTGCTGGAGAAGGTCCGGGTCGTGTCGCACGCCAGGGGAGAGCGGACGTACCACATCTTCTACCAGGTGTGTGACGTGTGCTTGCGTGCTGTCGGAGATTCCGTAGACTTCTTCTACCAGGTGTGTGGCGTGTGCTTTGCTGTCGGAGATTCCGTAGACTTTCTTCTACCAGGTGTATGACGTGTGCTTTGCTGTTGAAGATTCCGTAGACTTCTTCTACACACCTTCAGCAAGGCTGCGACGGACAGCGTCCGGTGTTGTCCACAAGCGTGGGGTGAAATTACCATGTATTTTGCTTGTAATACATCCTTGGGAACGTTTGAACGTTTTATGCATAGGAGAATGTCGATCTTCACGCTGCTCGAAACTCTTGTCGTGTTCGCGACGAGAGGCCCCGTCATTGGATGTGTTGAGTATTTGGTCTTGAGCCACTGCTGTCGTCTGTCCACATGATGATGATGTTCACGCACGCAAAACTGTTAACTATCGTTGTTGTTGTTGTTGTTGTTGTTGACGGTGTCGTTGACCGATGGTTGTTGTTAATGATGACGGTGGTGCTGGTGCTGGTGCTGGTACCATGTCTGTCATCTTTGTTGCTTATCTTTGCATGTTGTTTTTGACGTTATCATCACCATCAACAGCTTCTGGCGGCACCGGAGTCTGAGAAGAAACGCTACGGGCTGGAGGGGCAGGGGAGCGCCTCCTTCCGATACACCAGCATGGGAGGGGACCAAAAAGGTACTGTACGCCCTCTAACCTGCACCCCCGAAAAGAGTACCAAACATTTCTCGCTCTCAGGCTGAAGGCAAACAATTCACCAGGAGACGTTCTGGTACATGGCATGCCCACTGGGTTTCCGTCCAGGAGGGGGTGGCGGGTGGCCCTATGTAATGCCCTCGTTGACTGAGAACGGACGAAATAGAAGCATTTTCTCTTCCTGTTGTATGGATGTCATGCTGCTTTAGAATTTTGAAGCATTGTTTTCTCGCCATCATTGTTCGAGAACAGTCAACCTAGAAGCCTCTAGTCCTACTGCCCTACTGCATGTCCTTGTTGGTCAAAATGGGTCAACACACCTCGTTCTGTTGCCCTTGTGTCCTCGTAGATTGAGAATAGACGGGTCAGCAAAAAACAACTTGTGCCCTCGTTATCGATATTACAAAACACATACATTCCTGTGAACAGGTGTGATCGAGGGGATGTCGGACGGTGACCGTTTCCGGCAGACCTCGGACGCTCTGGACATCATCGGCATGGCTGAGAAGGAGAAGTCAGAGCTCCTCTCGGCTGTCTCTGGAGTCTTGCACCTAGGACAGGTAAAACAGGCATCCCTGTCTGTCCCTTTTTTGTTGTGTCTCCTTTGTCGTTTTTGTCTTCCCCAACCCAATCAAGAAATTGAATAAATCTACACAACTTAGAACCTTCCCAAACCCTCGATATTATACTCCCAACTAGAATATACGATACGATGAAATTAACACGCACCCTTCAGTGTTGCGGTGCACGTTGAACGTGGATTTTTTTTTATGGGATATGGCTTCTTTCCGAAAAAACACTTGGGCGTTTGGCCTATTGACGTACGTCAGCCACGGCTTTCCCGCAGTGCGTGTTTGTTGTTCCCGCTTGTTTCCCCACGCACCCACCCACCCACCCACCCACCCACCCCACCCCTTTCCTCTCTCATTTTAACTCTCTCTTCGATCTCCCCATTTTTGGTGTCTCTTTCCTCTCTTTCTCCCTCTATTTTCCTTCTCTGATCTCTCGTGTGGCACGCTGTTGGCTGTCTCCTCCTGCCGCACCCCGGTCGTTCCGACTAGATCGATTTCGTGGAGAAAGCCAGCGACAGCGGGGCGCACGAGTGCGAGGCGCGCGACTCGGAGAAGCTAGTGGCACCAGCAACGATGCTCGGCGTGACGCCCGGCGATCTAGGGCAGCACCTGACACACCGCTCCGTCAAGGTGGAGGGGAAGACGATCAACGTGCCTCTGTCGCCCGCGGCTGCGACGGACAGCCTTGACGGTCTCGCCAAGGAGATTTATTGCAGGTGAAGGCGCCCGTCTTCTGTTCGTGTTTTTTTTTTTTTTTGTTCTGGTGTTGGTGGTGGTTACTACTGTTATTGTTGGCCTTGTGTTCCTTGGGTGATAGCGTTTGGTGGCTGTGGGGGTTACAGGCAGAGTCTGTTGTTGTCATTTTTGTTCATGTGGTGGTGGTGGTGGTTGTGTTTCCTGTTTTTTGTTGTGCGTGGTGGCATCGGTGGTGCTTTCGTTGTCCGCGAAGGGCCCCTACCGGCCTTGGCACGGATCTACTGTACTGCAGGTGACACCACAAACCCCCTGCAACACGCTACTTTGCGATGACACAGGATGTTCGACTGGCTGGTGGCCAAGATCAACGACTCGATGCGATGCTCCGACGGCAGCAACAAGGGAACCATCGACCTCCTGGACATCTTCGGCTTCGAGACCTTCCAGCACAACAGCTTCGAGCAGTTCTGCATCAACTACGCCAACGAGAAACTGCAGCAAAAGTTCACACAGGATGTCTTCAAGAACGTTCAGGTGCGTACAAAAAAAAAATACGCGAAGAATGAGGAATATGAATGCTTCCGCATGCCGTGGAGTAGGTAGCGTTAGATGACACAACTGCTTCGACCGATCTTCCAGGCCCGATTACTCTGCAGCACAAATAATGGGTGTTGCGCCGAAAACGGCGGGAGGCTTTGGGACCGTCTGTCTCGTCGAGAGATAGAACTTTCCGAAAGACGTGTGATTTGATTTTTTTCATGTCTTTGTCGTGGTGATGTGTTCGATTTTTTTTTTTCGAAACGTGTCACACACTCTTGTATGTTTTTGACCCAAAGAGGGACGATCAGGACGACTTTGATTGTCAGAAAAACGGTCGAAAAATAAACACAAGATCTCTTGCGGAAACCAAGCCTGCCTGTGTACCATGTGGCCTACGTTCCACCGTGTGTACGCCATGCATGATACCTGGTACCACAAGCTCTGCCTCGTACCCCAAATCGGAGAAACTCAACAAGCACCAATCTCGTACAGGTCCCATTTTTGTTTCCGTCAACTCGTATATGTATGTATGGGCTCGTGAGTTTCTCCGAAGTGTAACGTGTGTGCTTTTGTTTTCTTCATTTGTTTTAACCGGACCGGACCTTCTTTTTTCACTGTTTTTTTATTGCCCCCGAGGGTAGGTGGAGTACCAAGAGGAGGGCATCCCGTGGTCACACATCGACTTCCAGGACAATGCGGCGGTGCTGGGCATGATAGAGGAGCCACGGAGAGGCCTGCTCTCTCTGCTCGACGAGGAGTGCATGCTCCCCCAGGGGACGGATGAGGCCTATGCTTCGAAAGCAATCAAGGTGCCTTCCTGCCTCCCTCTCGGTGTTGCAGTATTGTCGGTGATGAAAGGTGTCGCAGAAGAGGCTTGGCTTCCAAGGCAGTCAAGGATCCTGCCTCGCAGTTGTTGTTGTTGATGATGTTGAGGTTGATGCTTGTTGTAGACCTACAGTGTTATTTTGTTCTCCATGATGTCATTTTTGTGTTTTTTTATTCGTATCGTGGGTGTGTCTTGATGCTAGTTGGTCTTGATGGGTGTTTCTGCGATCTGTTGGTATTGCTGGTATTTTGACGTTGTCATCTTACGGTTGATGTACCTCCTTTTTTTTTTTTTTTCAACTTCCACGGACAAAACGCGCAGGCGTACAAGGACCACGAGAACTTCGGCAAGGACCGCTTCGCGACCAAGCTCGAATTCACGGTCCACCACTACGCCGGCAGAGTAGTCTACAACACCGGGGGCTTCGTGGAGAAGAACAAGGATCAGCTGCAGGTGTCCCCGTCGCCGCCGTTGCCGCTCGATGGCGTAACTATTGTGGTGTTTGCTCTCGCTTCACGGGCGTAGGATGTTTGTCTGTGTTCGCTGGTCCTCTCCAGACGAGATGATTGCTCTTTTTACGCGCACCACACCAGGTTACGTGCGTGTGTTTTTAGTTGTCCTCCAACCCCCCCCAAAAAATGTTAATTTACACTACCTGTGAGCGATTAGCATGGACCGCGCTTTACCTGTGTCTGTTTTTGTTTTTTTTTCTTCCTGCAGTCTGACTTGGTGCAGATGTTGTCACAGTCCACCAACGGGGTGCTCGGGTCCTGCTTCAAGAGCCAGGCGAAGCCCTTGCTACCCCAGGACTCGAATGGCCCCAACAGCCGACAACGAAAGGGCTCCCTCATGCAGGTGAGTTTTCGCTGGTTTCTTTGTTTCTCATCCGATGTTTATTGTATTGTCTTGTGACTGAGCGTTACCGCTTGTTTGGGAAATAGTCTTAGTCCTGCCTCCACATTTCAGAGTCTTGTTCTGCCGTCAAGATTTGTTGTTGTTGGGGGGATATTTCGAAGTGTGAAATTTCCATGTCCTTGGTGCGTGTTTTGTTTTTGGGGCGGGGCGCACGCGAAGAAAACGTTTGTCGACACGACCGTGTCACGGCTAAATTTGTTTTCAGGAGCAGTGTTTTCGTGTATGTTGATCATCTGCCCGTCAGTAGTGACTCGTTTCCTTCTTTCTCAACATAAATCGCCGGCAATTGCTCTTTTGATCCAGGCCGCTTTGTTGTTCCTTTCTACTCTCTGTTTGCTCTTCTTTTGGTTGTCACTGTTCTCCACTAAATACTGTGGATATCCTCCTATAACAAGAGAGATTGCCAGAAACACTCGCAACTTGTCCAAGCAATTCGTGAAGAATTGTGTCGCATTATTCAGTATTCACAAGCATCCACTACAACGCCCATTCCCTTTTTCGTTTTTCTCACTCACTCGCTGCTGTGCCGTCGTCGTTATTGTTCTGTTCTTCGTCTGCGTCCAACAGGAGTCCCTCGGATCCAAGTTCAAGCGTCAGCTGCACGCCCTGATGGCGGCCATCCAGAGGACTGAGGTGCAGTACGTCCGGTGCATCAAGCCGAACGCGAACAAGTCGAAGGACGAGCTGAACTGCCTCATGGTGGTGGAGCAGCTGAGATGTGCAGGGGTTGTGGAGGTGAGAAGCATGGTCTCGTTTAAATTTGGTTTGTGGTTGTTGCTGTTGTTGCTGCTGCTGCTGCTGCTGCTTGTTTTGACTGCTTCTGCCGTTATTGGTGCTGTGACTGTTGTTGTTGTTGTTGTTTGCTGCTGCTGTCTTGTCTTGTTTGGTCCTCTTTGTGTCTGCATCCCATCGCGTGTCGCTGGCTGTCGTACATTGTGCTCTGTTGGAGTTCCGCAGCAACAGCAGTCCATTGCAAGTTGTGTGTTATGTGTTCCTGGGGCCACGAGCGTCGTACCCGTTCGCCCGCTCTTTCCTAGCGATCCCTTCTTGCTTCTCGCCTCCCTCCCCTCATCCCTCCGCCCCCTATTTTTTGTTCCTCTCCCGTTGTCATGTTGAACAAAAATCACATGTGCACCTCGCTCGTGAAAATCGTGAAAACAGGCGATTCGAATCTCGCGAGCGGCGTACCCCAACCGCATGATTTTCCGCGAGTTTTCTCGACGTTTCGAGGTGATGGCGAACAAGGTTACGAAGGGGGGTGGCGGCGCTAGCAAGGCCACGAGGGAGAAGGAGGCGGCGGCATTCGCCAGGTATATGCATTTGATGTACCAAGTCCACTCTTTTGCTTGGTTTTTTGGTCTCTTCCTCTGCCGGGGACAGCGTTCTTTCTCACACGTTTGTCTGCATGATGTACCAAGTCCACTTGTTTGCTTGGTTTTGGTCTATTCCTCTTCCGGGGACAGCGTTCTTTCTCACACGTTTGTCTGCATGGCACTCAGAGGACCCGTCGGCACATTGCCCGTTGCGCGTCGGGCTCGCGGGACCTCGGTGATGCACGTGATGGCCGCTCAGAAGTCGCTGGCACTGGCTCTATTCCAGGGGTCGCGAATCCGAACCACAAAGGTCTTTGCAGGATTTACAATACGTTTTTTGTCATCCGTACAAGAGGGAACCATTGTTCTGATTTTTTTGTCGCGTGCTCAAACTGCACACACGTTCCACACATCATGAGCAACGCCGTACAAAACACAACAGGGAGGGAGAGAGAGAGCAAGAGCAGCGGGTTATAGCAGTACGACCTGCGGCAAGGACGCCGCTTCCCTATCGTATGTGTGCTTGGGACTCACCAGGCCAACTGCTGCATAACAAGCATCACGGACAAATACGGAACGATACCGGCTCCAATTTATTCCCGTTTACCGCCGGGGTATATCGCAAAAAGAAACGATACTTATTTCCCGCCGAATGACCACAGAGATTCTGCGCAGAAACTTCCGAGCGATGACCGCACAAATACCCGCCGAAAAGCATCTAGTTGAAGAACACAGCAGCGGCAGTCTGTGTTTCAGCAGTAGTAGGATCTACGGCAACGACACCGCGAGAGCACTCACGAAGAGTAACGGCGAAAAAACGTTTCCACCGCAAATTGATGCAAATTGATGCAAATTGATGCGAGTTAGTTTCCGAAACGAACCGTGGCACTACCGGAGGTGGGTTGAGATATACAACGATGCAACCATTATAGCAGTGGCCATGTCCTCTTGCGTCGCCCCCGGGAGGCAAGTGTACCTATCCCGGAAGGGGAGCCTTGTATGTACATTCGTACGCACAGTTGAAGCTGTTTTTACTTTCGTTTCGCATTCTCGCATCCCGTCCCATCCCATCCCACGCTTTTCCGTACGTGCATGGTTTTCCGGCATCCACGCCTGTTCCGGGGTTGCTGGAAACCCTTGGCATGGCACTCACAAATGTTTTTTTTTCCTTCTTTTTCTGTTCCTTTTTTCTTGAAGACGGTCGGAGTCGTCGCAGTGCAAGTTCATTCTGGAGAAGCTTCTGGGACGCGAAAAGGACAGCAAGTGCTGTCTTGGTAATACCAAGGTGGGGAGAGAGAGAGAGCGGTGTTGCTGTTGTTGCCGTTATTGCTGTTGGCGGCGTCGTGCGCGGTTGTTTGAGTCAGATGTGTTCCGTTGGGGTTGCTGGTTTTGTCGCCGTGCATTGTGCATTGATTGATGCAGGGCGACAAGGCAGTATAGATTCAAGAACGACAACCCTAGTGGGTCTTTTTTTTTTTTTTGTAGTATTGACTCCAAAAATCAGCGCTCACATCCTTTGTGCCGTTTACTCCAACCCGTGATGGAACTGGAAATAACCGCGTTTGACGTGGAGACGAATTTGATCCTGGCGATACTTGTCGTGAATCTGTTAACGTCAAAGTTTCCTCGGCACTATTACGGGTTGTCGAGCCCGCCCTTATTTTGGTTTTATCCCTTGGAAAATTTCAACCGTAGAAAAGCTGACAGGTGCTGAAACTGAAACGTCGCGGACACAGGTGTATTTCCGAGCTGGGGTGCTCGAGCAGATGGAGGAGGAGCGCGGGAAGTTCGTTAGAGTGAAAGTAGTCACGGTGCAGCGGGCGCTCATGGGGAACGCCAAGCGCAGGCCCTACCTCAGGCTTCGGACCTCCGCGATAGTGGCGCAGAAGTTGTGGAGGTGAGATTTTTTTTTCTGTTTCTATCGGAGTCGTTGTCGCCATTGCTGCAGCTGCTGCTGCTGCCGTTGCTGCTGCTCCTGCGGTTTGGTGGTTGCTGTCGTTGTCGCTGTCTGTGACGACATTGCTGACGCTGCTGCGGCTACGGCTGCGGCTGCTGCGGCTGCGATGTGGTTGTTGCTGTCGTCGTTGGTGTCTTTGATGACATTGCTGCTGTTGTGCTATTGCTGCGGCTGCTGCTGCAATTGTTGTTGCTGTGGTTGCTGTTCTCTCTGTCGGCATTGTTGCTGTCGTTGTCGATACTGCTGCTGTTGCTGCGATTTAGCTGCTGGTGTCTTTCAATATTGCTGCCGTTGCTGCTACTGTTGCTGCTGTCGTAGTTTTCGTTGTCTTCTGCGGTGCCGTTATCGTCGTCGCAGTCGCTGTTGTTGTTGTTGTTACTGCTGTTTTCCTCACCGCCTTTCGTTTAAAAAACGAACCTACCTGTCAATAGGGGACACGTCGATCGACAGACGGCGAAGCGATTGAAGGTCGAAAAGGAGGAGCGGGAACGACGGGCGAGGGAGGAAGAGGAACGGAGGAGGAGGGAGGAGGAGGAGAGAAGGTTGGCCGCTGCCAAGAAGGCAGAGGACGAGCGGATTAAGAAGGAGGAGGAAGAGCGGAAGAAGGTTCGTCGATTTTTTATACTTCGAAGTATGTTAATGGCGCGCGGTTTTGCACTGGGGATGTGCGTTTTGGGTTCGAAAGTGGTATGTAAATGGTTGGCCGTAGACCACGGAAGGCGCCCGAGTCAGTTGGACCATTTTTTCTCGACGAACACAACAACAAATCTACATACATCGCCGTTGTGTGTACTGCTGTACTCTCCTGTCATATTGTACATATTCTATGTACGTCGAAGGTGTATTTTACACTTGTATCTGTGTAGGACTCTCTTGTCATATTGTACATATTCTATGTACGCCGAAGGTGTATTTTACATTTGTATCTGTGTAGGACTCTCTTGTCATATTGTACATATTCTATGTACGTCGAAGGTGTATTTTTCATCCGTCGTCTTCCATGTGCCTTCCTTGTCTTGTGCTTATTTGGTCTTCCAGACTGCAAGCAGGGTTGTCTATGAACGTATTGTACGCACGGTATCTACGTGGGGGTCCGCGTTATTTAGTTCGGAGCTACGACACCGTTGTAGTATCCCCCACGTGCGAAAAAATAAAGATACACGCAGAATCTGAAGCTTGTAATGTACATGATTTTACTGTGATCACGCGTTTCGTACTGTCGCGTTTCGAAAAGAGAAACGTGTCGCAACAAAATAAATTCCGTACAATAACGGTCGCCTGTTAATAAATACATGGTATATTCCAATACGTAAAACACAGGCTGCGAAGAAGGCGGAGAAGGCTGCCTCTGGCGGGGGTAGCTTGATGGGGAAGCTGATCGGAGGGGGCAGTGGCGGCGGCAAGAAGGACAGGAGCAGCGGGGGAGGGGGAGGGGCGGGGGGGGAGTTCGCACAGGATAGCCCTGTCGATAACGGCAATTCGGTGAGAGAAGAGAGAAGAGAGACGGGACAGAGTGAGAGAGCCACCCCGCTATGTATATATCGCTCTGTCGTCCTCGTAGTTCTTTTTCTTGCTGTAAATTTTTATTTCATTTTTTTGTGTGTTTCACAAGTGGTTTGGGCTGCTGAGGATTCTGTGGATTTGAGCGGAGCATGCCGGCACTACTGCTGTGCCCGCTCCCCCGTACCAACTACTACGAGCGCAGTGTTGTATGGCAATTCTCAGTTAGTTGCCTTCCCCGGCATCCAAACCGCACCACCAACCCCCCGACTTTAATCCCTCAGATTTTGGGCATCATGCCCGACTACGACTCCGACACCGACATGCCTATGGACATGCAAGACAAGTTCAAGTCAGGCTCGTCTTCCGGCGGCACCTTCTCCCGCTTCTACAGCGGCCATGGGGGCGCCGCGGGTGCGGGTGCGGGGGAGGGGGACGACGAGGGGGGAATGTCGGTCGGCCGCTACAACCCACTTTTCCACAACGCGGTAAGGGGTCAGGTTGCTCCCGTAGTAAATTAACGAGGCTCGAACAAAATCAAAATCGGTTGGCTCCCTTGGCCGGAAAAAGTAATCGGCTCCCGGCTACAAAAAATGGGGTCTTGGATTGCTTGACTTGAACAATAAAAGCCTTGTCAGTTTTTTTTTTTATCGAAAAGTCAAAATTGAGCTCTGTAACAACAACCCAGACTAGCTGTTTTTTTGTTCTCGACCAATCAGGGCTCGATTGTTTTTTGTTTTTTTTCGAGCGTCTTTGACTCCCGACCTAAGGGGGTTCACACCCCGTCTTTTCGTGTTCAACTGCAGCACCCCCCCCCCCCTTCCCTTTTATTTACGAAATGTTTCGTGAGTCTCTCCCTCTGTGCTTGTGCTGCTACCGGTCATATAGCTAGGTATACAGAGCAATTTTTCAATTTTTGTGATAAAACCTCATCCTAAATCCTCCCTGCCCCGTTGAAGCCCCTCCCACCCTTCGCTTCTTGGGGGTTGCTGTCGCCCCCACCCCCCCTGAAGCTGAAGCTGAAGCTGCCGACTGCTGGATTGTGTTGGGGGGGTTTGTTGTGTATGTTCAACAAAAGGGGGGCGAAAAGGGGGAGAAAAACTTCGGCATGCGCGTAACGCAAGGAGGAAGAAAAGGAGGTGCGTCAAAAGAATCCATTCCCAACGAAAGAAGACGAGAGGAGCACCCTCCATGAATCAACCAACCAGCGTTTTTTTTTTTCCTTTGTGGGATGCCCTCGTGTCTCCCGGTGGCTTCCCTACAAAA